CGAAGCTGCGTGCGAACACTATTTAAAAGGGCAACAACACACTGCAGCAACACGGAACTACACCAAGAAAAAGAATATCCAAAGAATTGGGTCAGAAGACGCCTACATGAGCAACATCAGAAAGAGACTACACGCCGCGACACACTCATCACACTAACCTATATCAGAAACAGGTCGGAACTCACCACAAGACTCCTACGACCGCTGTGTAACAGAGTGGCAACAAGCCCACGTCATCCCTACGACAACTGCTCACCCTAATTAAGGACCCACTCCCCGTCATGGACAGGACCAGTGTCATCTACAAGATTCCCTGCAGAGACTGCAAGAAACACTACATCGGACAAACAGGAAGGAAACTAACAACAAGAGTACATGAACACCAACTGGCTACAAAAAGACACGACCAATACTCACTCATCTCAATCCACATGGACAAGGAGAACCACCAGTTCGACTGGGACAGCACCAAGATCCTGGGAAAGGCTAGGCAGAGACAGGCATGAGAATTCCTAAAAGCATGGCACTCCATGAAGCATGCTATTAATAAACACATTGAACTCAACCCCATACATATTCCAGTACGAAGGAAAACCGGAAGTGAGGCAATCCATCTCAACGGACCCTAGAGTTTAAAAACCAGGCGGGAAAACACACCGACGCTTCATTGGAGGCTGCACTGAGGATGTTACCAAGCATGATAATGAAATGTCTGCGAAACAAGAAACCAGCTTGACGATTTTACAGCATATCCAGTGGGCCACCCAAAACACCTTCTCGAGGTAAAGTAACATTGAGACATAAAAGCTGAATCATGGAAGACTGCAAAAATTAAATCACAGGAGCTATCTCCCATCTCAGTAAGTAATGGAAAGCTGAATGGAGTGCAGTAGGAACTTTAGCTGTGCACTTTATATATTCTGAAGGGTCTAGACCCAAAACGTCAGCTTTCCTGCTCCTCTGATGCTGTTTGGCCTGCTGTGTTCATCCAGCTCTACACCTTGTTATCTCAGATTCTCAGCATCGGCAGTTCCTACTTTCTCTGTAACCACTTTATACATGCTGTACAAACATGTCTTGAGCACTTCACTTCACACCCTGTATACATTAGCATATCCAAATTTGAACAAAGGGATCAAAGAACTGTATAGCAGAAGAACAGGCTCTTCAGCCCACCAAGACTGCATTGACACATGATGCCTTTCCAAACTAAAAGCCTTTTGCCTCTACATTGCGTATATCCCTCTATTCCCTGCCTATTCATATATCTGTCAAATTGCCTCTTAAACATTGCTATTGGACCTGCCTCCACTGTGTGCTCTGGCAGCACATTCCACACACTTACCACCAACTGTGCAAAAAACTTGCCTCTCACATTCCCTTTAAACTTCCTCCTTTTACCTTAAACCTCCCTTACTAATTGACATTTCGACCCTGGAAAGAAGATGCCAAATGTCCACTGTATCCATGCCTCTCAATTTTGTAAACTTCTATCAGGTCAACCTCATCATTTGATGTTCAAGTGAAAACAAACCATGTTTGTCCAATCTCTCTTCATAACTAATATCCTCAAAACCAGGCAACATACTGCTAAATCATTTCTGTACCCTCTCCAAAGCCTCCAAATCTTTCTGGTAGTGTGGCATCCAGAACTGTCCACAATATTCCGAATGTGACCTAACTAAAGTTCTATACAACTGCAATATGACCTTTCAATTTTTTATACTCTCTGCCCCAATCGATGGAGGCAAGCACGCCATATGCCTTCTTGGCCACAGTATCCACTGTGTTGCCACTTTCAGGGATCTGTGGACTTGTACAATAGATCCCTCTGATGCCATATCCACTCTGGCTCCAGGTCTCATTCATTTCACCCTTAATCTTCCAATGTCACCAATTTAAAACTCTCAGAATCACAGAATGAGTACAGCTGAGAAGGAAGTCATTTGGCCCATTGACTCAGTGCCTGGTCTCTAAGGAGCAATTCAACAAATCCCATTCCCTTGCCCTTTCCACAATGTTTTCTTATTTGGTACTTACCATTATTGCATATCCAATTCCCCTCTGAAAGTCACTAATCCCTTTATAAACTCCCCCTCACTCACACCTCTGTTCCTTTCTCTTTTGGGCAATGCATTCCAAATCCTAATCACTCACTGTCTAACAGGGCTTTCCTCATATTGCTGCTGGTTCTCATCAATCACCTTCATCATTGTTTACATTTAAGAGGCAACTTGACAAGTACATGAATAGGCAGGGAATAGAGGGATATGGACCACATGGAGGCAATGGTTTCTGGCTTAGAAAAGCATCACATGTTGGTGCAGGCTTTGTGGGCTGAAGGGCCTGTTCCTGTGTAGTACTGTTCTTTGTTTTTTGTACTTCTTGACCCTTTTACTGGCAAAACAGTTTCCAACTATTCTGTTGAGACCTTTCTTGATTTTGAACAGCAACATCAAATCTGAGTACAACCCTCTGTTTTTCAAGGAAAAGAGCCCTAACATCTTCAATCAATCTACAAAACTGAAGTCTCTCACCCTTGTAAACATTCTCATAACTTCTTTCTGTGCTCTCTGCAATGACTTTACATCATTAATAAAAGTAAAACCCCCAGAATTAGATAGAATATTCCAGCTGAGGCTGAAACAGTATTTTACAGAATTTCACATCTGCAAGATTCTACATCTAACTGCTTTCTCAACCTGCCCTATACATTCAACATTTTGACATATAATCCTATGTGTCTCCATTCTTGTTGTCTGCACCCCTTTTAGATTCATACAACTTATTTCATATTCTGAGAGAAATGTATCATTTCACACTCGACTGCATCAAATTTCATCTGCTACACATTCACCCATTCTATCAACTTGTCTAATTTCTCTTCACATTGTCTTCCTAAATCTTAGCAATATCTCTAATCTTTATCATCATTTTAAAATTGTGTCTTCCATATTTAAGTCAATGAACAACATACATCAGGAGAAACAGCATTTTATTATTAATCCCCTGGGAAATTTCGTCCTATAAGCTAGTTTTCTCTGTTCTCTGTTGTGCAGTCAACTTAACGTCCCTGCTGCCACTTCTCTTTTTATTCAACAAATTTCAACTTTGCTGGAAAACCTGTTATACAGCAATTTAACAAACAATTTTTGGGACCTGATATAGACTGCATCAACCACAGCCAGAAGGTGGTGAATCTGTGAAACTCATTGTCCGGAAGGCTGCGGAAGCCAAGTAATTGAGTGTATTTGAGACAGAGATAGGTAGGTTGTTGATTAGTAAGGGGCCAATGGTTCGAATGGTGGCGCAGACTTGATGGGCCAAATGACCTAATTCTGCTCCTTATATCTTATAGCGCCATTACCCTCATCAAGCTTTGTACATAACTGTTCAACTCCAGCTTGTCTACAAACAACATCTACTCATCTGCTGCATAAATTATGCTTGCAATGAGTGATGGACTACTTGCTTTCAAAACATGCAGCAATCCTTGGTTTTTAAAGCAGTTCTTTTCTCATTTGAGTCAACAATTAAAAATACAGAAAAATAAAAAGACAAAAAAAAAGTCTTTACACAAAGAAAAGACAGAATGAATTTGTTTATGAACTGGATTGTTATTTTAATGAGGCAACAAAGACAGTCAGTGTGGTTCATGTGATCTGTACAGACTTCTAAAAGGCATTGCTAAGGTACCACATAATAACCTTGCCAAGAAAGTTGAATTCCATGGAATAAAATATATAAAATAAAAAATAAAAGCAAAGATATGAAGTTAGCTGAGGAACAGGGAACAGAGGGCAGTAATGAACAGTTTTTCTTCTGTGCCTTTTCTTTTTCTCCTTCATTAAGGCTCTCTTTGAATTCCATTATTTGACCCAATTTTTGTCATCTCACCTAATATGTGCTTCATTTTCTTTTTCCTTGACTACAGTAGTGTGTTTTGGGATTTTTTTTTAATAGGTTAAATGCCCTAAGCTAGTTGTTAATAATATTGTACAAAAACATTCAAATTGTCTGTATATTAATGCACAGGTAACATGTCACAACAGGTTCGTTAACTTAAAATTGGTCATGGAAAACCTGTGAAGGGAACCAAGTTAATACATCAAGTTATTGGAAAAACGTCATTCGTTCTGATGAAGGGCAATGAAACCTTAACTCGGTTCCTCAAGCAGATGGTGTCTGGCCTGTTGAGTATTTTCTGCTTTAATTTCAGATATCATATCTGCAAAAAATTGCTTTTGTATGGAAATAATCATGTTGTTATTTTCACACAAGCAGAATCATAAGCACAGAGAAAATGTCTAAGCTTGACTATTGCATATCCAAAAGCAGTAATGAAAATTCTTCCCAATCTAGATTAACTATTATTGCATGGAAAGTTATAATGCTTCTTTTTTCTCTAGTTTTGCCTTGCCTCTCTTAATTCTGTGTTAGGTATTTGGTATGGAAGAAAAACAGGAATGCCATGCTTTAATAAAATGTGAAATTCATAGACTCAACGTGCCATTCCAATGTCAGGCAAAATATACAAGTTTTCAATAAACATTTCAAAAGGCTAAAATGTACTCACTCAACAGTCGTTTCCAATTCACTTATGTTTAGCTGATTATCTGCAATGTTCTTTTTCTTTGGAAACAGTGAATATGACAATTAAATTAATTTAAATTAGATAGATAATAGATTTAGTAATAGATTTAAATACACTTTCATAATCAAAGTAAAGGGATGAAATTCCAAGGTTCTGTTCACTTAATGCAAGTTTGCTGTAAGTGTCATGGAAACCCTGGACAAATTTGGATTTACACGGTTTTTCTTGAATTTGCATGGTTTTTTGCTGAATTCATGGTGGACAATTGGGACAATCCTTGTAAGTAATAATGTTCCATAACAATCCAAAAATTTAACAAATGAGGAGTATCTAATGAAAGAGAACACTTCCATGATAGTTGGTCTTTTTACCACCAAATCTGAGGCATGATGTATAAGGGTGATGTGAATTACTTTGACAGCACAGCCCAATAAACATTCAAAATATATTCAAAATGTAAACAATAGCCTTCACAGAGGCTTCCACATTCGTTGGGAAGTGGTTACATTCAGCACCTGGTTTAGACTTAGCTTTTTAGATTGTATAAACTTTGAATTATACTCTTAAGATTTCGCACATAACTACAAATTGGGATTTATTTTTTATTTATTGTTTGAGACCTGATATTGAAGATGAGAAAAAATAAACAATAATGAGCCTTCATCTAGGATAAAGATCACTCATATAAAGTAAATATTCTGCGTTCACTTCTTTAAATGCTGCAAATCTGTTCAAAATACTACTAATAAGTTTGCAAGTTTAAAAGGAAAGGCCAGTCTCTTTAAAAACCACTTACTTTCTGGTGAAGTGTTTCCTCTAGGGAAGCAATTGTCTCAGTCTTTTCATCCATGAGCTCCTGTAAACTACTCTTCTGTTTATCAAGTTCATAGACATTCGCTCGAGTTGAGCTAATTTCTTCCTGAAGCGAAGAAATCTGTCTGGTCAGATCATCTGTTGGGCAACAGATTCAAAATTTAAGATTCTATAATTATCTAACCAGAACAAACAGTTAAAGATACTAAACACAATAGCTGTAGGCCCTCATTTATATAACTTCCCTATTGTATATTGTCATAATTTGAAGATGCACTTTTTAATATGTAAAGTGGTAAAGGTCTAGGAATGCCAATAAAGGTAAAATCCTCCAGCAAAATGGAAATAACTTACCATTAGAAATTATTGAACTCAAGATGGCTTTTGAAAAAAAAGTAACATTTTCCTTCATATAAAGCTTGTTCTAATAGTATGTTTTCATTTCAGTGCGGTTTAAAATTACACCCCCTACCTGATAGCAATGCTTCCACTTGGTTTTGCATTGTTGCTGAATATGCTCACTCTTTTTGAAAAGAAATCAATAATTTTGCTATCTCCCTCTTCAACACACCTATTGCCTTTCTCCTGGGCCCTGTTACTTGACACCTCTCCTGCCTCCCATTTGCCATCACATCCTCTTGGTGTTTCTCTTAACCTTCCCGGTCAGCACTTCTTACCACAACCTTTCTGATCATCATCTCTCAGTCACTGTTTTCTGCAACCCATCTCCATGCCTCGTCCCACAAACAACCATTCTAGCTCCTTCACTCACTCCATTCCTCTCTCCCACTCCTTCTCACTTGCTCATACAGAGAGTTCGGGAGAGGGAAGTGGAAAGCTTGAGGCAGAAGCTGCGATCAGGAGTTAAGCAAGAGTTAAAAAGACACTAAAAGTTTTAAGAAACATTTTAGGCTAGTGGTTTTTACTGTAAAAATTTTCAGGTCAGAAACACAGCCCATCCTTATTCCATATTTTCTTACGGGAAAGTGATTTTTATTTATCATATTTTCAGTTAGTACTTTTTTTTAGTGACAAAGAAAAGATAACTGTATCTAAAGCTTTTCTTGTTTAATGTAAGGATTTAAACAAAAATAAAACAAAGATATATTTTCCAATATATTTAAGGAGAAATGAGGGCCTAGTGGTATTATTGCTGGACTGTAATCCAGACTCAGGTTCTAAAGCAGATTTGAATCCTGCCATGGTGGAATTTGAATTCAATTCTGAAGAGTCTAATGATCACCATGAATTTGTTGTTGATTGTCAGGAAAAAGACATCTGTTTCACAACTGTCATGGAAACTGCCCTCCTTACTGGTCTGCCAATGTGTGACTATAGGCACATAGCAATGTGGTTGACTCTTAACTGCCCTCTGGGCAATTAGGGATGAGCAATAATAAATGCTAGCTTAGGCTGTGATGCCGTCATCCCGTGAATTATAAAAAAAAACTTATTGATATATTTCCCACCACCTTCATCAACATTTTAACTTCATGTCATTTTAACTTTCATTGATTTCCTGTCCATTACTTTTAAAAGCCGAATAATTTCACTCATGGAATCATTGTTGTGAAAAAAACAGATTGCTCATTCAATTGACCAGTGAATAGCAGGCCCTATGGAGCAGGAAAATCCAGGGTTTGAAACCCTTGATCACCCAGAACATGAGCACTTATATCTGCCATATGCCATTAGATTAGAGAGAACAGGAAGCAAAATTTTCTTAATCAAATCTTATCACTGTGATTTGCAATCTTAACAGGTTTTTGATATTTTTGCAAAGTTGAATACCTTGATGACCTACAACGTTGAGGTTCATGGGAGATAGAACAACTATTTGGACCAGGTAATTTGAAACACAGATGCCCACAAAACTGTAATCTACCAAAAGCATGATGCAGACTGTAGCACTAAATAATAGACTGGGTGCACAGTGATGGCCCTGATGATTCTTTTCTTGTTTTTATCTTCATAAATGATGAATGAAAATAATCTTTCATGAAAATCTGTGAAATCATTACCTCAAATGTTATACATTCACTGAATTTGCTTTGTTTTAAAATGAAGTTGGTATTACCAATCTTTTCATTCTGCCGAACATTTTTATCCTGTGCAAGTTGTAGATCAGTGGTTTTTAATGAGAGACGTCGCTGGGTTTCAGCAAGACTGTCTTCTGCCTGGTCCATTAACATTCTGCAACAATAAGTACCATAATGTATTTTTGTTGTTGTTCAAGGCAGTAGGACAGTGTTGTTTTCTTAACCTAAAAATATTTTTCAGAAATTGCATCCAAATAATGTGAATTGAAACTTCTACATAAGAATCAATAGAGTCTCCCATTTTTAATAGTATTTTATTAATTTCTAATCATGTATTTTCCAAATAAATTTGATTCAACAGTATTAATACACCCTGTCTGGGATCTCATTTGTAAGTATGAGCATTCATAAGTCAGATATTTCTAAATCAGGGACTGCCTGCATTTTCATAAACCCTTTGTTATCCTATCAAAAAAACTTAACCAAGATGGTCAAACACAATTTTTACCGAGAAAATCCATGTTGGCTTTCCCTTAATTAATCCTTATTTGTCCAACCAACAGGTAAACTGAATAGCCTGAAGTTGCTGGGTTCATTGATTCACCCTTTTTGAACAAGGGTGTAATATATTTGCAATTCTCCTGTCTTCTGGCATACGCTGTACCTAAAGTGGATTGAAATATTATGGTAAGTGCTTCCACAATTTCTACTCTTACTTCTCTCAGGACCTTCAGATGAATTTGATCCGACCATAGCAATTTTAAAATAATAACGTACAGCTGGTCTTCTAATATCTCCATATCAAAATCTGTAGAATATTCAAGTGCCTCAATGACAACGTCTTTCAATACGAGTTTGGCAGCAAATTATTCTTTAGTCAAGACAGGTGTAAAGTAATATTTAGTACCTCAGCCATGCCCCCTGCTTCATTGCATAAATCATGTTTGTGGTCCCAAATCAGCCTCATTCCTCCTTTTAACACCTTTTGCTGTTTACATATCATTAGAACTTTGGATTCCATTTTATGTTACTTGCCCGTCCCTTCTAATACTCTCTTTGCCTCTCATTCTTGTCACTTCATTTTTAGGCATGCCTGGTGCTGCTCTGCTACACGTTCATTTCACCAGATTGATCTTCTGCGTGATGGTAGACTGAAGGACCATAGAATCATCGAGTTCTATAACTCAGAAAACAGGTCTTTTGGCCCAAAGAAACAAAAACCAAGCAACTGAACTATTCCAATCCCGTGTTCTAGCACTTAGCCCCTAGCCTTGTATGCCTTGGCATCACAAGTGCACATTTAAATATCTCTTAAACGTTACAAGGGTTTCTGCCTCTGCCACCCTTTCAGGCAGTGAGTTTCAGCCAGTCTATCCAGTCTCTCTTCATAATTGGAACTCTTCAACTCAGGCGACATCCTGATAAATCTCCTCTGCATCCTCTCCAGTGAAATCACATCCCTCCAAATGTGAATTCCAGAACTGTACACAATGCTATAACTGTGGCCTAAGCAACATGTTATTCAGTTCCAGCATAATCTCTTAAAGTCTAGGCCTTGGCTATTAAAGGCAAGTATCCCATATGACTTCTTAACCACTTTATCTACCTGTTCCGCTACCTTAAGAGACCTTTGGATATGCACACCAAGGTCCCTCTGATCCCAATGTTCATCATGTATTCCCTGTCTTGTTGGTCCAGTCCAAGTACATCACCACAAACTTATCCAGATTGAATTCCTTTTGCCACTGCGCACCCATCTCACCTGCCTATCTCTATCCTTCTGTAATTTAAGGCTATCCTCTTCACCAATTATCATCCTCAAACTTACTGATCAACACGCCTACATTCAAGTCTAAATCATTTATATATACCACAAACATCAAGGGCCCCAACAATGATTCCTGGAGAACCATATTGAACACAGGCTTCCAGGCACAAAAACACCCCTCAACTACCACTCTCTGCTTTCTGCCATGAAGCCAATTCTAGATCCAATTCACTAAATTGTTTATAGGTATGCTAGGCTACAACATAACAGGTTGTGGTGGAAAACTATTGCTGCTGTTGGCCTGTAACACCTCATGGATGCCTAGTTTTGAACTATTAAATCTATTCTGATTTCATCCCATTTAGCATACTGATAGTCACACAACATGATACACAAAATATGAAGTTGTGACATCATTACTCCAAAGACTGTGAAATGATCATTCTTTCCAATGTTACGGGCAGATGCATTTACTGCAGGTAAATTGGTGAGTGGTGATCGATGAACACTTTCCCTTGTATTCGATCTTTCTCCAAATGCTACAACCCCACTATGGAGCTATGAGACTATACAGCCTCAATCATCTCTGAGCCAAAACTGAACTATCAGAAAAATACATGATCTACTACTTACAGATAACAGCAGTACCATTGTCCACGTTGCATCAGATTTGCTAACTGTTCTTGCTCTCTTCACTTATGCCAACAAGAAACTTAGCCTGTCACTGAATGTTGTGAAAAAAAGTCTACTAACCCACACCTGGTCAAACAAATATTCACGTCTCATAGGTTTTGAAGGAGATACTGTAGACTATGTCAAGCACTTTGCATGCCTTGGCAGGTATTTCTTTCAAGAGGCCACCACTTACAATCAGTTGAACTTCTTGAAGTTGGCCCCATGAACATTCAGGCAACATTTCTTAAGAATCAACTTTGATGGACGGGCACTGTGTCTGGTCGTTGAAAATTACCACTACATCCTGATTTCTAAACTATTACCAGCAGAGGAAAGAGATATGACTTCAATAACACACTGAAGCTCTCCTTAAAGCTTGTCAGCATTGACACCAATCATTCACAATAGCGACAATCAATGATCAATCATATTGCATCAACTTTGAGCCACAAGGCCTAAATGATGTGGAAGAGCAGCAGGAGAGAAGAAAATGAAGCAAATTCTGCATTTTGGATCTCACTATGTCATTGGACATCCTGCCTTATGTACCCAAAGATCTCTGTTGAGAGTCAGTCTGTTCTGTCACGTGAAAGTCAATAGCAAAAATTTGTAAAAGTGAGTAAACTTCATTCTTGAATCAAGGGACCAGATGATGACAATTGTATTTGTGCCCTCAGGACACAGTTATTTTGGTCACTAGTGGTGCAATAGAGCTATGCTCGATGTTAGATGTTGAAGTTCCATATTCAGAGTATGTCCTGTCCGCTTGTTAAGTCAAATGTTTGTTCCAAGTCATTCTTAACATGGAGTAGTGCTGATCCATCACCTAAGAGAAGAGCAGAAGGTAGTACACAGCAGGGGGTTTCTTTGCTGATGTTTAACAATGACACCATGAGACTTTATGCGGTCTAGAGTAAATGTTGAGTACTTTCGGGGCCATTCCCCCTCAACTGCATACCACTATGCTGCCACCTGCAATGGGTCCATCTTGCTAATTGGCCAGGCCATAACTGGGGAGTCTGCAATATGACTGTAAGGTGTATGACAGCTCTCCCAATTTTGGCACACGTTCTCAAATATTCGTAAGCAAGATTTTAACAGGTCAGTTCTAGTACATTGTTATACATTATCATATTGAATCCAATGCCTAACTCAAAGCTAAATCGACTTCTCTAATATAACAAGGCATAGAGCTGGATGAACACAGCAGGCCAAGCAGCACCAGAGGAGCAGGAAAGCTGACGTTTCGGGTCTAGACCCTTCTTCAGAAATGCTGTGTTCATCCAGCTCTACACCTTGTTATCTCAGATTCTCCAGCATCGGCAGTTCCTACTATCTCTGAATCGACTTCTCTAATTTTGTTTTTATGCTTTTTTTTTGAAGTGATTTGATACAAGAATTGGTTTGTTTGGCCAATTCCGAGGACAGTTAAAGTCAACCACATAGCTGTGGGTCTTGGAGACTGAATATTGTATTGGATAAAATTATGTGTTTTAATTGGAGCATTACAGCATCCAACAACAACTGAATATTTAAAACAACAATGATCTCCATTTAACAAGATAATATTCACACTGATATTTTTACTTTGCACAGACCACAAGCAAGGAAAATTTGGTGCAAACCCCCTATTTATGCGGAACCTTGTCCATCTGCCCTCCAACTTATCACTAAGCTGCCACCTTGTTCTTTCTTCCTTTCACTCTATTCTTCCACCCAGCTGTACTCTCCCCGACCCACTTGCTCTCACTGCCTGTCTTAAAAATTGCAGGATTTTTAATGTCCAGTACTAATGAAAGTTCAATCAAACTGAACCATTTGCCTCCAGAGAAGGTTCCTGACCTACTGAGTATTTAAATTTGTTTATTGTTTTTATTTCGGATTTCCCAGCATCAGTATTACTTTATTTTTGTCTTGATACATGTATGTGGACATCTAATAATGTGCAATCAACTATGCAGAATTACAACAGAAAGGCATCAAAGAAAATATCTGTTAGATTCAAATACCAGCTCACTCTCCAATTGACTGCTTCTTATTCAGTGCTCAGGGAGAAACAAAAGTGAGAAAAAATGAACATTTAAGCTAGATCATGACCAAACTGAAAAGCAAAGAACTTTTCTGTTGTGGTCCTCCCAGAGTACCAGGTACACATCATGTAAAAGTGCTAAGTCCCAGGTTATGCATTTCTGAGCTAAAATTGTTCTGAAATGCAGAAGAGATCTAAGGTTTCTTAAGTTTACAAACATGGACATTTTTTAAAATGAATCATGTCATATACTGATTATCTTCAAATTATCACACTATTTCACCTGATCTGGTTGTTTTCTGCTCTCTGCCTGCATAGTTCATCTTCAGTGTCAGATGACTTTCTAGCCAATACTTTGACTTCTTCCTCCAGAGAAGTTACACTATCTTTTAGACAAGTCAACCTAGAACGATGTTCCAATCTTTCATTTTCTAACTGAAAGGAGCAAGACAATGCAAAACTGAGTGACAATACACAAAATGTACTCAATGTAGGTTTCAGAGCAACAAGACAGTGTTGCAATTGTAAATAGATTTTTGTGATAATGAAGAGCAGCTCTAAATCTAATGTGATAAAAGAAGTCTGAAGTTATTAACAATCTGATGAAGGGTCTAGGCCCGAAACGTCAGCCTTTCTGCTCCTATGATGCTGCCTGGCCTGCTGTGTTCATCCAGCCCTGCACCTTGTTGTCTCGGATTCTCCAGCATCTGCAGTTCCTACTATCTCTGATTTGGTTTTTGAAACATGACTTTTTGTGTGTAGCCGGAAGTTGATTACATTTTTATCATGGTAGAAGCATATATTAAAGGAAAGGACTTGCAAGTAAGGTACTGAATAATCCTAGGTTTTAATATATGTAGAGATTGTATAAATCAAATTGGACTGGAGTAAGAGTTTATAGAACACTTTAGAGCCAAACTGGGAGCAAGCTATCCCACACCAGATAAAATGCAATGTGACAGGATTAATTAATGGCTTCACAGTAGAGGTGCCTCTAAGTAACAATAATCACAAACATGATTGGTTTTCAAACTCAGTTTGAAGCTGAAAATAAGGGATCTGACACTAGTGTTTTAAACTTAAGAAAAGCAATTACTAGGGTATGAAATCAGGCTAGCTAAAGTGCACAGGAAGAGTAGGTCAGTTGAAACGAAATGGCAGACATTTAAGGAGATATTTTATGATACTCAGCACACGTACATTCCGTTGACAGAGAAAGGCTCTATGGGAAGGATGTACCATCCATAAATTAAGAAATTAAAGACAACATCAAATTGAAATAATACGTGTACAATTTTGTGAAGAATGATTTCAAAATGGATGACAGAAAACTAATTAAAAATTTTAAACTGACAATAAGAGTTCCTACGAGTACGAAAAAAGGAAAAGAGTATCTAAAAAGTGAGTACTGGTCATCTAGAGAGGGAGTCTGATCAAATAATAATGCAAAATACAGAAATGGTGGAACTGTTGAACAGATATTTTGTCACTGTCTTCACTGTAGAACATACAAATAACATCACAGAAATACTTGTAACTCAAGAGTTGAAAGAAAGAGAGAAACTTAAAACAATTATGATAAATGGGAAAAGGATACTAAGAAAATTCTTAGAACGTGAAACCAACAAGTCCGCAAGACATATTGGTTTACAGCCTGGAGTTTTAAAATAAATAAAGGGGACTTGCAGATGTAGCACACATGGATTTCCAAAAGACATTTGATAAGGTACCACGTCAAAGGTTAGAACACAAAATAAGAGTTCATGGTGTGGGTGTAATATATTACCATGGATAAAAGATTCATTACCAAACAGGAAGCAGAGAGTAGGGCTAAGTGGGTATTTTCTAGGCTTGCAATCTGTGACTAGTAGAATGCCACAGGGATCATTGAGAGCTTCAATTATTTACAATCTATAGCAATTACTTGTATGAAAATACCGAACATACAGTTGCAAGATTTGCCAATGGCACAAAGATATGGAGGTGCCGGTGTTGGACTGGGCTGGACAAAGTCAGAAATCACACAACACCAGTTATAGTCCAACAGGTTTATTTGAAATCACAAGCTTTCAGAGCATAGCCCCTTTGTCAGGTGAAGTGACAGAGAAGCACACTGACACAGAATTTATAGGCAGAGAGATCAAGGGCAGATAGATCAAAAGATCATACAAATGGTGTGAGTGGAGTATTGAATAATAAGTCTGTGCAGGCAAGGATGCCCCGAGGCAAGGTATATTGACGAGACCATGCCGAACTACAACAACAGATGAAAGGACACCACGCAACAATCACCAGTCAGGAATGTTCCCTCCCAGTCAGGGAACACTTCAGCAGTCAAGGATGTTCAGCTTCCGATCTTCAGGTAGGCGTTCTCTAAGGCGGCCTTTGAGATACACAACAATGCATAATCACCGAGCAGAAACTGATAACCAAGGTCCGTACCCATGAAGACGGCCTCAACCGTGATCTTGGGTTCATGTCGCGCTACACGTGACCCGACCACACTGTTCTGTACCTGTAACATCTTCCTTACTGTCCTGTTTTGACACCATCACCTTGAAAAATTATTATCTCTCTACCTTAATTAGTTTGTACAGTTTTGGATTACTTATTACTTTTGTTAGACCCTCGGCTTGCAACTCTTATACCTATCATGTTATTCCAGTCATTTGGTTTGTCTCCAGCACCTCCTTATTTTTAATCTTTGGAATTACATCTCTGCCTCAATTAATCAGATTATAGGTCATCCCTTTGCTTGTTATTCAGCTGTTGACACTTTACTCACACCGTCTAACACTTTTGATCATCTGCACAGACTTATTATTCAACACTCCACTCACACCAGTTGTACGATCTTTTGATCTCTCTGCCTATAAATTCTTTGTCTGTGTGCTTCTCTGTCACTTCACCTGACAAAGGGGCTACGGTCCAAAAGCTTGCGATTTCAAATAAATCTATTGGACTATAACCTGGTGTTGTGTGACTTCTGACTTTGACACAAAGATAGGAGAGAGAGCAAGTAATGAAGAGAGTGTAAAAAATCTACAAATGTATACATGGGTGAAGTGAGGCCAAATATTGGCATTTGGAAAATAATGTGGGAATATTTGTTCAGTCTGGTAGAAAGACTAATCAACATATTATTCAAATGGATAAAGATTGTAGAACTCTGAGGTACAGAGGAATCTAGGTATCCTGTTACATGAATGACAAAAAAGTTAGTATCCAGATACAACAAGTGAGGAAGTCAAACAGAATATTGGCGATTATCGACAGTAGGGGAATAGAATATAATTAGAAAAGTTTTGCTCCCGTTATACAAGGAAAAACTCATCAGGTCTGGCAGCATCTGTGGAAAGAAAATATCCTTAAATAAGGAGACCTCTGGAGTAGTTTGTACAGTTTTTGTCCCCTTATTTAAGGACACTTTCTTTCCACAGATGCTGCCAGGCTTTCTGCGTTCTTTCCAGCAATTTCTTTTCATGTTAAGGATATAACTGCAGAAGTAGTTCAGAAAAATTTATTTGACTGATGCCAAAAGAATTGTCTTGAGGAGAGGTTAACAAGTTGGCCCTGTAGACATCTTATTTTAGAAAGACAGGCACTTTATTGAAACGTGTAGAGGAGGCAGAAACTTTAAAAAGAGCATGGAGTTGACTTCGTTCTGATCAGTGTCAAGAGAAGGCAGAAAGTTTAAAAACAGCGTGGCAGAGGGAGTGATTTCACTCTGAACACAGCGCTGAGAGTTGAGGCAGCAATTTAAAAAGAATATGGTGAGGACGGAGTGGCTACGTTCTAAACACAGCACCAGGAGATGATGAGTATGACAAAGATATGGCATCACAGGAAATTGGTAAGTTGGTGAGAAGTTGCTGTTAGGGAGTGAATCAAATAGTTTAAAACAAAAAGAAAGTAGCATTTACAATTTGAAGTAGCCATATGGATTGCAGGAAGAAACACTAATAAAAAGATGTAAAATTAAATCAAGTTAAAGGAAAACAAAATAAAATGAAAATGAAGAAAGATAACATTATAAATAAGTCTTAATACCATAGCAACTTTACACTTATTCTAAAGCTAACAAATAGTTTTTGACGAGATGGAAAGTCAGTGGACACAAATGGATCCATGTCATGCAATATATGCAAAGTTAAATACATACCATGTATCCAGGTAAACACTTCTGCAGGAAGTGTCATCAACTACAGAGCTTGAGCTCTGTTTCAGAACTGGAACAATGGCTGGAGTCACTGTGGTTTACCTGCGAAGTAGAGGACTACATGGATAGCACATGTCTGTGATGTCTAATGAGACAGACTTGATTATGAAGCTTAAGGTGAAGGAACTCCTAGGGGACAGTGACCATAATATAATAGAATTCACCCTACAGTTTGAGCGGGAGAAGCTGAAATCAGATGCAACGATATTAAAATTGAATAAAGGTAACTACAAAGACATGAGAGACGTGCTCGCAGAGTTGATAGGAAGTGGAGTCCAGCAGGGAGGACAGTGGAGCAGCAATGGCAGGAGTTTCTGGGGTAATTCAGGAGACACAGCAGAAATTCATCCCAAGGAAGAAGAAACAAATTAAGGGGATGATGAGTCAACTGTGGCTGATAAGGGAAGCCAGGGATAGCATAAAACCAAAAGAAAAAGCATACAAAGTGGTGAGATTAGTGGGAAGCCAAAGGGGTGGGAAGTCTTCAAAAACCAGCAGAGGATAACTATAAAAGCAATATGGGTGGAGAAGATGAAGTATGAGGGCAAGCCAGCTCAAAATATAAAAGAAGATTGCAAGAGTTTTTTTAGATATACAAAGGGTAACAGAGAGACAAGAGTGGACATTGGGCTGATGGAAAATGAGGCTGATAAAACAGTAATGGGGAACAATGAAAAAGTAGAGACACTGAACTAGTACTTTATATTAGTTTTCACGGTGGAACACACCAGTAGCATACCAGAACTTCAAGTAAGTCGGGGATAGAGGTGAATATAGTGGCCATCACTAAGGAGAAGGCACTGGGGAAATTGAAAGGTCAGAAGGTGGATAAATCAGTCAGACCATCGAATCATAGAATCCTTACAAAGCCGAAAGAGACCATCGGCCAATCGAGTCTACACCAACCCTCCGAAGATCATCCCACCCAGACCCAGGACAACAGCCTATCCCCATAACCCCACATTTACCATGGCTAATCCATGCAGCCTGCAAATCCCTGAACACTATGGACAATTTAGTAGTCCATCTTTGGACTGTGGGAGGAACTGGAGCACCCAGATGAAACCTACACAGACACAGAGATAATGTGCAAACTCCACAGAGATAGACCCAAAGGTGGAATCAAACTGGGGTTCCTGGCGCTGTGAGGCAGCAGTGCTAACCACTGAGCCACCAGGCCGCCCAGTGGACCAGATGGACTAACCCCAGAGTTCTGAAGAAGATAGCTGAGGAGTTGTAGAGGCATTGGTGTGATCTTTCACGTATCAATGGAGTCAAGGATGGTCACAGAGGATTGAAAAATGGCTAATATGAGACCCTGGCTAATGTAACACCTTTGTTTAAGAAGGGATTGGGACAGAAGGCAGGAAATTATAAGCCAGTGGATGGCAGATGGTGGGACTGTCCTATGAAGAAGTATAGGGCAATCGGGTTCTGTATTTTCTCGGGCTTCAATGAATGAGGGATGATCTCATTGTAACTTACAAAATGCTTAAAAGAATAGACTAGGTAGATGCAAGTCAGATGTTTCCCCTAGATGGGGAGTCTAGGAACATATTAACAGGACAAAGCCACGTAGCCCCTTCAGATTGCTTCACCATTCAATGAGATCATGACTGACATGGCCTCATTCCATATACCTGCCTTTGGCCCATATCCCTTAATACCTTTCCTTAACTAAATATAATCTACCTCAGATTTAAAATTAACAACTGATCCAGTATTCACTGCATTTTGCAACAAGAGAGTTTGAAACATCTACCACCTTTTGTGTGTCGAAGTGCTTCCTAACATCTCTCCCTGGAGTCTGGCCCTAATTCTTAACCATGGACCCTAGTTCTAGAATCCCCAGCCAATGGAAATTATCTCTAACTAGCCTGTCTTTTCCCGTTAGTGTCTTGAAGAGTTCAATCAGATGTGAGCCCAGGTCTGCTCAAAATACTATAAGTGGGGTCTAGCCAGGGTTTTGTATAACTGCAGCTTATCCGTGCATTCTTGTACTCCAGTCCTCTATATATAAAGGCCAACATTCCATTAGCACTAGAATTATGGAACCCAGTTTTAAATAAGGGGGATGCTATATAGGTCTGAGATGAGAAATCTTTTTACTGAGAGGATTGTGAATTATTGTAACTATCTACCTATTAGGGCAGTGAAAGCTCTTATTTTCAGAATGTTTGAAGTAGACAGTTGGATATATTTTGATTACCAGTGGTGTAAAGTGACAGGGAGATAGGGCTGGTAAAAGGCATTGAAGTGTTCGATTAGCCATGATTGTATCAAATGATGAAGCAGGCTCAATGAGCTAAATACCTACTCCTGTTCCTATAGTGAAAGGAATCAACAGGGTGAATGAAAAAGGATGGTCTCCCTTGTGGGTGAAACTGAAACCAAGAACGCAGTTTGAAAATGAGGGGTTTAAAATGGAGATGTGGAGATTTTTTTTCCTCTTTGAGGGTCATCAGTTAATGGATCCTCTTCTCCGGAGAGCAATGGAGCCAGATTACTTAATATTTTTAAGTTGAGTTATGTTGAGTTTTGATTGGCAAACAAATTAAATGTTATGAAGGGCAGACATGAAAGTAGAGCTGAGGCCAGAAACACATCTGCCGTAATCTTGTTAAAATGGCAGAGCAGGCTCAAGCATCCGACTGGCCTGCTCTTGTTCCTATTTCCTAAGTTTGTATGTTAAATGAATCACAGTGCTTTATTCTTCATTTTAAAAATCTATTCATATACTTTTATAATTAATACACATAATTACACAATTATAAAAGTCAACATTACTGTGTGCATGGAACCCTTCAAGTCTTCTATTCTTTGTTCCAGATGCGATCTTTCATTAATCGCCGTCTCCTGAGAAATCTAGTGCAAAATGGAGGCCATTAAGTACTGAGTTATAAACTGGATCTGAAGTTATTCACCAACCTAATATCATTCACAATTTATGTGTGAATTCACTGTTTCATTATTCCTTCAACTGAGATTAATAATTGACATCCACGCTAATTCTTTATCATTTCAGAGGAGTTCAACCTTTTATTTTAAACAGGTTATGAATTATTCAGCATATACTATCCCATGGCAATTTCAAAGCAAGAACAAATGTATTAATTATGATTAAAACCATTAAAGCAACAAAAGCACAAACTGAAGAAAGAATATTAGCAGCAAAGAACAGGTCCTACTTGGAAGGTTTGCAAAAAAATAGCTGTTCACAGAAGGGCAGAAAAACAAAATAAAGGCAGAAGTAATGTATCCACATAGCATGATGGTCCCAGATTACCTTAAAATGTTAAAATGCAGAAGCAGAGACTCAACCCATCGAGTCTACTCTGCCATTCAATGAGATCATGGTTGATCTGATAATCCTCAACTCCACTTTCTTGCCTTTTCCACACAACCCTCAATTCCTTTATTGATTAAAAATTTAATCAGCCTTGAATACGCTTAAGGACCCAGCTTCAAGAGCCCTTTGTGGTAAGAGCTAAACTAAAAATTCACTACCCTCAGAGAAGAAATTCTGTTTTAAATGTGCAACTTCTTATTCTGAATTCATGCCCTCTGCCCTAAGAATCTTGTATGTTTTAATAAACTCCTATACTCCATTCTTCTATACTCCAACACATACAGGCCCAATCTACTCAACTTCTCCTCAGAAGTCAGTCCTTCCATACCTGATGAAGAGTTATCTAGACTTGAAACATTAGCTTGCTTTCTCTCCGTGGATATTGCCTGACCGGCTGTGATCCCCAGCATTTTATGTTTTCAGTACAGATTCCAGCATCTGCAGTAATTTGCTCCCTCCATACCTGGTTTCAGCCTAGAAAACCTTTTCTGGACTGCCTCCAATGCCCATATACTTTTCCTTAGATAAAGGGACCTAAACCTGTTCACAGCATTCCAGCTCTGGTCTGACTAGTGCCTTGTACAGATTTTGTAAAATCTCACTATTTTTACACTCCACTTCCTTTAAAATGATTCACTTTAAAAACATTTGCCTTCCCATTACAATACCCATTGAACCTGAGTGCTGGCTTTTTTGTGATACATGGATGAGGATTCCCAAATTCCTTTGTTGCCTAGCTTTCTGCAGTACTGTCAAATGTACTATTCCTAACAAAACAGTGTGTGTGAAATATTTCCCTGCAGCATGCAATCAGTGACCAATGATTCTCTAAGAGATACTTGTGAGTCTTGTAAAGAAATGTCAAAGCATATTAACCCTGCTCTATACTTGTACTATGCTGATCTCTTTGTATCTGAGCCTTATCAAAATGACTTTTATTTAGATAATGCCCTTAAATATCCCACAATGTTTCATAGTACAATAAAAGCAAAGTTAGATTCTGCACAGCACAATGAGCTATTAGGGCAGGTAGTAAAAACCTTAGTCAAAAAGAGTTAGTTTGAATGTTACATTTTTTATATTTCACCTATTTTTCTAGATCAGGTGGGACTTGAACCCAGGTCTCTTGGTCCAGGGGTAGGGACACTACAAACTGCACCACAAAAAAAGGGGTGTAGGGGATGGAGAGGTTTAATTAGTTAATTCTTGACCTTAGGGCTAGACAGCTGAAGATACAACCATTAAGAATGAAGCAATTAAAACTGAGGATGCCAATTTGGCACCACAATCAACTCATTTTTCAATTCAGCTAACTTGTGGGCTTGTCATTATGGACTTGCAATGTTAAAGATCAATTTAACGGTAGCAATTTTATAACAAGAAGAGTATTACAAGACCACACACTTCTAAATTCTAACTGATAAAATGAGCTAACAAAATGGAACTCTGTTATCAGCAGAAAAACAAAAGTTAGCCAAAAAATGTAAATTGCTTGTTAGAACCTTTAATGTGGAAAGCATGCACTTAAATCAAAACATGTTTTTAAAATTCCAGGTTTGACTTGACATTAGCTAAATTAATTGGGCAATTTCAACACACAATACACCACAACAGAGTCACAGGAATAGATCTAAATCTGTGTGGGACCGGAAATAGGGTGTGGTCCATAATTTCAGGTAGACTAATTCAAAATACAATTTGGTTAAAAAAATAGTGACAGCAAGTAACAAATTAAATGAAAAGATGAAAGAACCCTATTCCTGTTTTCTCCCTGGTTGCCATCAGCAGCAAGAAGACAAAAAAGCAAATGGTGTAAGATGAAATAATATGTTTTTGCTCAATTAAGAAGACCTTTCCCAGCTTCACGGCCTGGTAATGTAAACACGCTTGGAGAAACTATTTTCAAAATTTGTCACCAAATCCTATGTACCTGAATGTTAGATGTAAGGCTGATACATATTGCCCAAAAGGATTATTAGGATCAATGCTTTGTAACAACAAAAATAAGTTAATTATCAGGCAAATATTGTCAATAGCTTTTTGAATGTGTTAAAGGGATTATTTAACACTGATTATCAAACAACTTCATGACTCGTTTGGGTGAGTGAATGGTTTTAGGTTCATTTTTCTCACCTTTAATCGTTCTCGAAGACTGTCTCGCTCTGTGGTCATTCTCCGCAAGTCTGCAACAGCTTCATCACGCTCACATTCTAAACGTCGCAGAATATCCTGTGCTGTCAAACTGTTTTTCTGAGATCTTGGTGACTTGGCAGCATCCCTGCGTAGCCTATTAAGCTCTTCCTGGGCCTAGGTTATTTTGTGCAATTAGCAAAACAAGTATGTAATTTGTGATTTTTTTTTCAAAAGTTACATGTCCTTGTCACAGAGTTATATGTATTTAAATTTGTTGGAAACTGATACTGAGAGTCCCAGTTACATCTTAAATCATGTGCCCCATACCAAAACTAGGTTTTAATATCACAATGATGGCTTTATGTCTAGCACCATGAAATTCAAACCTCTGATCATTCTGCACCATATTAACAGCCACATTACACAAACAGTCAACCATGAGCATTTCAGGACCCTTGCCTAGGGAATCGTTGTAACAGAGAGGAAACAAAAAATCTCCAGCCTACGACAAAGATAATCAAAGTGAAATTGTGCACAGGACAAGTGGGTATTTATTATATGGACTGGCTACACCACACATCATACAGAGATATTTCTATTTGCCTTTTAGATGTTTCAGACACTCAAGTTTTTGCAAGTCTCATCAAAACGTTTCCAATGTGGTCTACACCTTCGTTCACCAGTTCCACAGCTGCCCTTCCAGGCAGTATCTGTGTTAGAGGAACAGTTACATTAAAAAGCATTGACTTGGAATATTAACATTGTTTTGCTTTCCATTGATGCAATTTTTATCTCAAATTAAGCACGAGTTGGACTTATAAGAGAAAAATCACCAGCCACAATCTGCAAAGAACTTAACACAGAGCACAAAAAAGACTGCTGTTGTTGAAGATGTAAAAATAATCCAGATTAAACAAATCCATATTCATCTATAACAGATAGAGTCCAGCCAGTTGAATAATATTTTCTCTATGAATACCAAAAATAAGTACCTGTACTTCGTGCAACAAAGACAAATGTTTAAATGAATATCTTTAGTTGAATCACTTTAATTACAGGTGTGATTTAAAATTCAAGACTGTAGCCAAAAAGAAGGATGGAGTGGGCCAGAGTTGATAAATGTAATTCTGATGGGTATTGTTTTCATCACTGTAGAAAACTGCAGTTCAAGAAATATTACATTGACAAAACTGGAACTTTGATTTTCAGCCCATCATTGGCCAGTGTTTTATTAGAAATTAGCTGATAATAAAATCCACTTCAGCAATGTTATTAAATGGCTTGAATTGTAGTTCTATACAGTAATGAGAAGACCTCTATCGTATGATATCATATGTTTTTTTGAAGTTAATAAACCACAAAAATATAGAAAACATGTAAAGGCACTGCAGTATATGTACAAAAAAAGAAGTCTGAAGGACCAGAGCCACCTGGACTGTAAACAGAATGTAAAGTGTTGGCTTTCATCATGAATAACCGTATACAGAAATCCTCAAAGCAGTTACCATATACTTTTTTGTTTTCCACCACCACCATTATGACTGCCCAATCTCATTGACCATGACATTTTTCATGCTTCAAGTTCATGGTACAGCAAGTTCCCACAAAGGCAGATGCCAGAGCACATTGGTACTGCTAAAAATATCCAGTCAGCTACACTCTTCATACACAAGGCACAAAAGTAGGTGTCTAAAATATATTTTCTGGACTGCTTTAAACATACTGAATGAATGGTCTTCTGAAAATGATGTACAAAGGAGGAATGATACTGGCTGGTAGAGAGGAGCACAATAGCTAGAATTGCAGGAACAAGAGGAAATTGAACTTTAAGAAAATCAAGCATCTACACATAAATCTACAAGCAATGAGAATGTTACTGGATCAGTGATATTGAAGCAGGAGATATTAGTTAGGAAAATAGGATGTGGAAATTTCTCATGATAAACACAAGGAAGGTATAGACCAGTTATTCCTTCATGAATGAATTGAGAAAGGTAACTACAACTCTGAATCACAAGTCATTTCTTGGAAGTGAAGATCTTTTTCGTTGACAGAAATGCCATGCACGATGAAAAGCACAAATAATATGAAATGATTAAAAAAGTCTAATTCAATTGCACCATAGTTTCATTTTTCTAACGCAGCAAATCACCAAACTCTACCATAGTGAGCAGTCTGACCTTTTCAGCTGGCCCAAAGAGGTTTTGCTATAATGAAAATCAACTATATTACTATATGTGGATGACAGGGAAGACAGCAGGCTCTTTTACAATGCTCCATTATCAAACTGGCTGCGGAAGACCATCATCAAGGCTCATGGAACAAGAACTTGGGATGAGACAACAGAAGATGATCTTTCCTTGTGCAAACCATACCAGATGAAGAAGAAATGGACTTCTGAAGTTACAGAACATATTTTCCTTTGAAATACAGCAACAAGTTACTGAAGTTGAAAAGATTAAAGCATTACACACATAAGACAATGAAGATATCACAAAGTTATTTGTGTTAATTATCAGAGGTTAAAATGCTACTTAGACAGAGTCCAGTTATATACTTTATTAGTTGGAATTTTATTTCCAGTTCACACACCACAAACTCCAGCCACACTGATTAACCTAGTTTTCCCTAATCAACGTGTTCAGGGATGTTATTACACACCTCTGGAATTGTGGGATTTGAGCCTAGGCCTCCCAGTCCGGGGGTAAGGACACTACCACTGCACCACAAGAGGATCCACACTGATTAAATCAGGAAGCAAGTATACACACCAGTTTTCACACAATTAACCCTAAGTAATATTTAATCATCATCTGTTCCCCAGTTTTACTAGGTCTCAGGCATCCCTGTCAAAACCTACAAGTTGATAACATCATTACTTACCTGTTCGTACAGGAGTTTGCTTTGGTCTCTTTCTGCAGTTAAAACTTTGACATTTGCCTGAACTTCTGCCATGTGCCTTTCGTATTTATTTAACATGGCTTGAAGATCATCGCGCTCTTTGATAATGCATATGAGTTCAGACTCATAACTTCCTCCCTGATTTTGTAAAAAAAAATGAGTAAACCAATATTCAATAAGCCAGAAAGATGATAGGTTATTGCATGATATCCCTTCTTTCTTTCAGAAATCAATCCAATCAATGGATATATACACACAATAGTTACATCTTCTAAATGCCTTCATAGGCTGTTGGAAGTAATGTAGATAGGACAAGGCATTTCTGCTAGTTTGTTAAGCCAGGAATAAAGAGCATAAATCAATGGTGTAGAGTTATAAATATTTTCCAGTACACAGAGAGGCCCTTTGGCTCATTGTGTCCACACTGATCATCAAGCATCTATCTATTCTAATTCTATTTTCCAGCATTGGTTTTGTATGCTGCGGTGTTTCAAATGCTCGTCTAAGTAGTTCTTAAATGTCTAGAGGGTACTCACCTCTACCATGTTTTAGGCAATGATTTCCAGATATTCACAAGCCTCTGCATGAAAACTGTGTTCCTCAAATCTCTCCTAAACCTTGCACTCTTTGTCTTAAAACTGTGCTCCTGGTTATTGACCCCCCCTTCCTAAAGGGAATGTTTTCACAATATTTACCCTGCTTTCCCCTCAGACCTTAGTACATCTTAATCAGATCCCTCCTCAGCTTTCTGTAGTCAAAAGAAAACAACTCCCAGCTATCCACTCTCTCTTTGTAGTTGAATTGCTCCAGCCCAGGCAACATCTTGGTGACTCTCATTTGCATCCTCTCTAGAGTGCAATCACATCATTCCTATAGTATAGAACTGCACACAGTACTTCAGCTGTGGTCTAACTAACGTTATACACAACATCCTTGCTCTTGCATTCAATACCTCAACTAATAAAGGCAAGCATCCCATATGCCTTCTTAACCACCTTATCTAGCCTTAGAGTGAGAGACTGAAATTGCAGGAATGAAATTAGAATATACATTTTCATGAAAAAGTGGTAGAACTTTTTCCATTAATGGCAATTAGTGTTTAGTCTATTGATGCTGACCTGAGACTGCTGGAATTCTGTGAACCAGATATGATGGGAAATGGGATGAAGGTGACTGTACAACTTAGGATGCAGATCAGCCATGATCTCACTGAACAGTGGAACTGGTTAAGTGGCCTGTTCTTAGATTCCTTTGTCACTGCATTGTTATATTTATTGAATTGCCCCAATTTATTTACATTTCATTTGCACATAATTACTGCAGATCTCTCTCACATTTCTTACAATGATACATAAGTTTTATAAGGAAAACCATGTTATATCAACTACATCATTATGGATGTATATTTCAACATTGAAGCAGTATGAAATCAGAGAGCAGCTCACCATATCCTTCCCAGTAGCATTTAGGGATGGGCAATAAATGGTAGCTTAGACAGCAACTCTTAAAATGATATATTTCTTCATAAGACAAGCCCCTCATCAGTAAGGCTTCACGAACTTTTTTTAGAAAAAATATTCTTTCATGAGATGTGGAATTATTGTTACCCATCCCTAAGCACTTAAACTGAATAGATAAACATCTTCAAAGGGCAACTACCTTATTACAGATCTGGAGTCACATGCAGGCCAGATCAGGTAAGGATAGCTACTTTCATTCCCTAAAGGACTTTAGCAAAGCAGATTGGTTTTTAACTTGGTTTCAATCAATGATAGCTTCATAATCACTATTACTGCGGCTAGATTTCAATTCCAGAATAATTAATTGAATTTAAAATCCCGGCAACTCTGCTGGAATTTGGATGTGTGCTCCCACAGCATTAGCCTGGACCTCTACTTGTGCAGTGACACAAACACTATGCCACTGTCTCCCTGTACAATTACTCCAAATTCACAATTATATCCTTTTTCAAATAAGGAGATCAAAACTATACCCAGTTCTTCAGATGTGGTCTCAACAAGATCTTATACAGCTGCAGTAAAACTTTAATGTTTTTATATTCCATTCTCCTTGCAATAAACTGCAACATTCCATTTGCCTTTCTCATCACTTTCTATACCTGCATCTTAACATATTGTGATCCATGTACCAGCACACCCGGATCCATCTGTACCACCAAGTTCTGCAATTTGTCTATATTTAAATAGTATAATGCTTTTCTGTTCTTCCTGCAAAAGTGAACAAGTTGACAATTTCTCACATTATACTTTGTCATTTTTCTGCCACTCACCTAACTTATATCCCTTTAACCCTTGTTGATTTTCTACCTCCTCTTGACAACTTACTTTCTTACCTAGCTTCATGTCAAATTTTGTTAGCTATGCACACGACTGAGAACAACAGATGTGTTTCTGGGATCGAGGAACACTTGGATCATGATACGTGAACTCTTGAACACCACATGGTGGATATTTTGATAATGACTTTCTCTGGTTCAAAACTGAATTGGCATTGTTGATTGCTCTACTTGCTTGGAAATTTTGATAGTCAAGTTTACAAAATTCATAGATCATTTTCAGTAAAGAAATTTAAAGAGTCTTTCGCAACCTCGACAGCTGAAAGCACTTTGTGACCAATCAAATATCTTTGACATCATTATTTTAACATAAGAATTTGGGTGGAATTTATAGTGAAATGGAAAAGTGTGTGTCAATTCAGAAAAGTTAGCCTGTCTTTAGTTTAGAAGTATTTGAGGGGATTTCATTGAAACATATACAATTCTAACAGGAATGGACAGATTGGATGCAGGAATGATATTTCCCTTGGCTAGAGATTCCAGAATGAGGAGTCACAGTCTCAGGTACACAGTGGGTCATTTCGAACTGAGATGAGGAGAAGCGTCTGTACAAACAGCAAGTGAATGTGTGAAATTCGCCATCACAGAAGGCTGTGGAAGTCAAGTCACTGATACACTTAGAAAATAGATTTCTACAGGCTATAAGACCATAAGACACAAGAGCAGAAGTAGGTCATTCAGCCCATCAAGTCTATTGTACTCTTCAATGAGGTCACAACTAATAGAATAATACCCATAACCCATGATTTCCTTACTGATTAAAAATCATCTCCATCTCAGCTTTGAATATGCTTAACACCCCTGCCTCTATAGTCCTTTGCAGTAAAAAAATTCCACAAATTCACTACCCTCTGAGAGAAGAAATTCCTCCTCATCTTTATCTTAAAAGGGTACTCCTTATTCTGAGATTACGCCTTCTTGTCCTAGCCTCTTCCACAACTCCGCATCCAGTCTGTCAAGTGCCCTGTGAATGTTGAATCTTGTATGTTTCAATAAGGTAACCTTTCATTCTTCTAAACCCCAATGAGTACTAGCCAAACCTATTCAATCTTTCCTCATAAGACATTTTCTCCAATCCTACGATCAGCCAAAGATCAGTCTCTGGACTGCCTCCAATGCCAGTATATCTTTCCTTAATTAAGACCAAAATTGTTCACAGTATTCAAGGTGCTGTGTGAGACTAATGTCTTGTATAATTTTAGTAAGACTTTTCCATTTTCATACTCCATTCCTTTTGAACAAAGGCCAACATTCCACATGTTTTTCCTATTACCTGCTAAACGTGTATGCTAGCTTTATGTGATCTGGCATGAGGACTCCAAAACTCCTCTGATTTGTAGCTTTTTGCAGTCTTTCTCCATTTAAATAATACTCAGCTCTTCTATTCTTCTTGCCAAATTGCATACCCTCATATTCTACAACATCATATTTCATCTGCTAAGTTTTTTCTCAGTCTTTTATCCTGTCTACATCTCTCTGCAGACTCTTTGTGTCACCCTCAGCACTTCCCTTCTCACCTATTTTTGTAGCATCTATAAACTTGTAAAGACTGTCAAGGGGTGTGGGAAGA